AAGTCGCGCTTTCGCCATTTTGTTGCACCAGCGGCGCCGCCCACAAAACCATCGGCGAACGGAGTGTTTGCAACGAACAAAGGCAGAGTTTCCCTAGCGATTAAAGCGCAGAAGGAGCCAAAGATTGGACCTCGAAAACGCGATCCGAATCCGACAAGCTCGTGCAGATCAATATCGGGCCCCACTCTTGCCGATCCTAGCGAGAAGGTCATACATAAATGTGCAGCAGTGACACACTCATCGCCGAGTACGCGCAGCAGCTGGCTCACAGAAAGAGATGCGAAGCGTCAAGTCTTTGTGGTAACGACTGTAACTTAGCTACTTTGTAAGTTATTTAGAGACGTGTAGAAAGACACTTCGGAAACCTCCATTAAATTTTATAAGAGAGTTTTCGTAGACCGCTTCCGCCGTCTCTCTATGCTCTCTCCACAACCCGCCACGTCGGCAGAGTTCATCCTTCTCGGTATTTATCGAAAACTACAAATCACGTAAATCCTAAATAAAAAAAATAATAATAATAATAACGGGATTACGAACGATGTAGGCCTTGACTCGGAAGAGAACACCCGCTATTTCGGAGCACATCTCCACCTAGCGGGAAATGCGAGCGGGTTAGTCAATGAAATCACGGCGAGCACACTATTCATCGAGGTAATGGTGAATAATAATAATGTGTGCGTGTTTATACAGCCGTAAGTAAGTCAGCTTCAATGGGCGTCCGGTGTTTCAGCTGTATATGAGATATTTAGCCAAAGCATTACAACCCCCAGCCTGGGGTTTCTAACGTGCACGACACAGTAGTGATACACGACCGCACGCTGCGGTACGATGCTCATCCAGATCAAAACGAGCAGGGGATCTCTGGGTTCTGCAGCGCGTGCTTCAGCACCATGTGCTCCGAGCTGGTGAGCGCTAGCCCCCTCCACCACCGATCCCCCTTATCAGTTACTTCGGAGGGCCGCGTCACCTGACAGCAGGAATTGAAAAACGCTGGACGCGGGCAGGTTTTAGAACGCCAAGGTACAAAATCCTTAGCCTGGAGTAAGATGGAGTAACTTTGGAACACGGCCATAGTGATCGTTTCACAGCAGACATTGAGTCTTACCTGGAGAATAGAAAAGAGAAGGCAAATGGAAGGTATAATTTTGCAAGAATTCAAAAAGAAAAAAATATATGACTTAGAAGAAATTATATTCCTGTTCACGCTGAAAATATCGAGCTTACATCACTTGAAACGGTGCTGCTCACGCTGAAAATATCGAGAGTTGCTGACGTGTCAACTGAAAGTGGCAGTCTCAAGCGTGTTTCACATGCAGCGGTTTCGGCCCTAGAGCGGCGCGATTTCTGCCGTTGCGGTGCTCTGGCCAGCACCAGCGGTTGAGCGGCACGAGCGCCGCGACGGCAGAAATCGCGCCGCTCTAGTGCCAAAATCGCTGCATGTGAAACACGCTTCAGTGTTGCCTTGCCGTCGTGTACACCGCGAGGTAGCGGAAGGCTGCGGCCGCAAGCTCCCAGTGAGCACGAGTGTTAACCAACCGAGGGATCCAGGGAAGCCGCGCATGTGCATGAGGCTAGCCTCCACTTCCGAGGAGAGAAAGCTCTTTCAACTAAATCCTCATACACACACGCCGTGGGTACAACGACGGAAATAAAATAAGGAATTCTATCTATAACGGTATTGAAATACCAACCAGAAAGAAATAGAACGACGGGTAGCAGCGAAGAAATGACAAAAACAAGGACAAGCTCGCGTATGACGTCATGTGTGCGTGAGCGGAGGTTCATAATAGGGAGTTTTCGTAGATCGTTTCCGCTGTCCCGCAACGCTCTCCGCCAGTCCGCTACGATACCCCGAACTCTACAGCCAAGGCCATCGGCGCGCAGGCGCGGTGGCGGCTCCTTGGTTGCGGAGGGCTTAGCGGACGGGGAGAACGCGGTCTACGAAAACTCCCTATTATGGAAAGGCAGCCGTAAGCGGCTGCACGTGCACTCCATAAGAAAAAAAAAACATGTGACGAAATTTTGGTTATTGTTATCAGAGCATAGAAGAAAAAAAATGCAGTTGAAGACATGACGTAAATCATGCCTCTTATTCGTCACAGCAAGACCATGTCATTGAATTCATTTACAGTCGGCACGTAATGAAACGCGAACAGTGGGTGCATGGTTTTCGCTAGATGCTGCACCACCTGAACCAGATGGGAGCTGCAAGAAGATGGCTCCTCCTTCGATGTGTTAGACCAGTGGTCGGCAACCAGCGGCCCGCGGGCCGGATCCGGCCCGCGAGGTAGTATCATACGGCCCTCAGCCTCCTGGTAACCCCCCCTCCCCCCTACACAGTCAGCTAAAGAAAAAAAAAATAAAGTTGACTAATTCGCTGCCGTCTGCAAGCAGACTTTTTCACGAATGAAGTGCATAAAATCCAACTTCCGCTCACGATTGACTGTTGTGAACCTCCACAATGTTTTGCGACTCGCAGTTAGCAGCTTGAATGTGGATGTCCGTAGTTTGGCGTAGTTTGACACCAAAAGTTTCACTGAGAGGAGTCTCTACGTTTTTGTGGAAATGTCGTATCTCATGTTGTTTGTTGTGAAATAAAGAAACTGTTCATTTTCGATTTATGTACGTCAATGTAAGTTCGTGCAAATGCTTTTTTTTTTATTTTAACTCCTCTCCCCTTCCCCCCCCCCCCCCCCCCCCCCCCCCCCCCCCCTTCCCCCCGCTGCTTGCCGTCCGGCCCGTACCGCCTAGGCTTTGCGGCGACTCGGCCCGCTTCGCCAAAAGGTTGCCGACCACTGTGTTAGACTCTTGCTCAGTGCATCCAAACCTTCGGTGTTCCGTCTCTAGGTGACTCAGCGTGGGTCGAAAAACCTTGCGCTCCTTGTTCGCGTTTCATTCCGTGCCGACTGTACATGTTTGCGAGACGAGCAATGATAATAATTTGCATTTGCCCAGTTTCATTTTCCCACTTGGCGGTGTGCAGCTCGTCACTAAAACCAGCGAAATGTAGGCCGCTTTTCGATGCAGATATTCAAGTTGTGGGCCGTTGAACTGAAAACCTCAATTCCTTTTTCGACCTCCTCAGCATCTCGCACTTCCGTACTTGGACGAGCGAACAGAGAAGTCAACGCGCAGCCAATCTGGCCGATTTGGAAATACAGGACGAGGAGCGTCATCGAGGTGAATCACCATAACACGGATATCGAAACGACAAAATCTCCAACACGTATCTTAACTCGACCTCGCAAAAAAAAAAAAAAAATTTTTACGCGTTTTTTTTTTTTTTTTTTTTTTAAGACAGCGTTGAAGATACAAAAAGTAAGGGCGCAAACGAGCTGGTCTAGATTGCACATGGTTGAAAAAAAAAAACCGAGACTGCGGGTAAACGACACAACACTAAAAAGTCTCTATTATAGAGACTTTTTAGTGTTGTGTCGTTTACCCGCAGTCTCGGGGTTTTTTCAACCATGTTGAAGATACAGCCTCGTCAGAGGGAATGCTCAATGCACTGGGGATTTCGCTTTTGCTACTTGGAGAGCGAGAGGGGGAGGGGGGGGGGGGGGGGGGGGGGCGAGAGAGACTAAGGCATGCGATTCGATTGTTTTCGGTAGTGTCTATTCTTGTCATGAACTCCCCCGAAATTCTACCGGCTGTCCATTTTGTCGACACACGTTTCACAAAATGCACGCAGTAGGGACATTTCGTCGCGCGTGTATCCACCGGGGAACGTGTTAACCTACCGGGTCTAGAGTAATTGTAGTCTAACCCGGCCCACTCGTTCACGCCGTTTCGCGGCAACAGTTTGAGGCGGCTCATCATAGAAAAAAGCTAACCTCAGCTCAGGCCAGCTGTCGATGAAACGTCGTTCGGTGAACTGACTGTCGCCGCGAATGGAAGGCGACTACTGTCGGTAGAGTTTCGGGGAAATTATCGTCCCAGTTAAAGGAAGATTAGTCGCTACTTGTTTTTCTTTTTTTCTCCCCAAAAGTTGTTTTTAAATAAAAGAGAAAGGAAAAAAACACTCCATTAATATTACATTTGCTGCCCGGTATCAAAATAATCCGGCATTACCAGACACAGTTGCAATACTGTTGCCCGAGGCTCCGTGCACACCAACTGCTCTTGAGTGAAAAAAAATGTTATGAATTAATAACGTGCAAAAAAGGCGCGATCCATTTAATCCAGGGAGCACGGGCTTTGCGGAAAAGCCCCGCATAATTCCCCCCCAAAAAGTAAAAAAGAACCAGCAAGGCGAAGTCGATGAATTATGTAATGCGTGCGAGCAGGCGCACGCAAAAACACACACACACAGAAGGATGTACACGAAAGATCTTCGAGGACGATGTAAGGCTTCTAAGGACAACACATGCGCATAATCTGATGGAAGCGGAATGCAGCCCGACCGGAGCGGTCGCAGAAAGGGTCGGAGAGTTCGCGACCCAGAAAATTAACTCGGGTAGCTTCGAAGCGCCAGAATTTGACGGGTAGCGATTCTAGCGGACGCGCACAAACAAACAAAAAACACCCAAAGCATATATCGGACGTCTTGTTGGTTACCCTCGCTGGAAACACACTCATCAATGTCGCCAAGTTAACGCTAATCCAAAATTAAACACGACGCCGCTACGAATAGCGGGGATCGTCCCGTATTAGCGCCTTCGCGTCCCGCGCGCGATGCTGAGATAAAAGCTGGCGCGTAAAGTTCGAAATAAAAAAGCCCACGGACCCCGAAAGAAAACGAAATTTACGCCCGCTTTCCGTTATGTCACGACATACCAAACATCGCAACAAAAGAGACCAAAAAAAAAACAAAAAAAAAACGGGGGAGAGAGTCAGCGGTTCGGATTTGAGCGCTCAAGCCGGAGCCGTCCCGCCGATGAATGCTACAGGTTAGCCGGTCCTGTCAAAAGAATGGATGCAGCGCGAATCGCCCGCCTCATGTGCTTGCTCTTCGACACACCGCGCTGCCGAAACCGAAAACAATCGTTCAACGAGCTGACCTGTTATGAAGAGGACCGTTCCCGCCGTGGCCAGAAGCAGGTGCAGTAAATCCATAGTGCTCACAAGTCTTGGCAACACTCGGACGAAATCGTAACCGCCGCTAAGCACCCACACACACACTGCCACAGATCAGCCCGCACACGACAAACAGTCCGCTGCGGCGTTTTCGCGTATCCGTTCGCGCTCCGTCCCGGAGGAGGTGGCTCCGTCCGCAGCGCTCCCTCAATGCCGACGCGCTTGAAGAAATAGTTCCTTGTTTATTCGTCGTTCAGCGCTCTAGGGTTCTGGTTCTGAACGCAAAACTGACTTAGCCTGTGCGTACAACGATTAAATAGATCTTATAAAGTTGGATACGAATTAAATCATTCTTCATTAGAGACGAAGTAAACACGATAGACTGAATGCGACAAAGTTTGAACTTGACAGGACAGGCCGTTTGGTTTATCGGCTAGCTTTTTAGGGATAAATGTGTTTAGAGCGCTCAGTACGGGTTAGAGTCGTTTCTGTGACACTGAAAAATATACAAAACACACCGTTAATGAAAGATAATGCCAAAATAGCGACAAACAAAATAACCCAAAGCCAACGTGCTTTTATGGAGTGAAGGCAGTGGTGGCGCCATCTAGAGGAAGAAAACAAAACTCTAACTAGTGCGCGCTGCGCGTCATCTCGTGGTGGTTTTGAAAAACGTAACCAGAAATCGGAAGGCGGCCTTTTTGATTTGGTACACGGTGGTCTTGGGGAAATTGAGGCACATTTGGAAGTCGGGACTTTGCATCACGGCTCCCAGAGTCCGCAATGTTATTTATATTTAGCTAAAAGGACGGTTGGGGAAGTGACCATTTTTTTTATTACGCACTGGTCTCTTCACTTGAACCACGGCTTTTAGGAAGTTACGCATTTCATAAATATTACTGCGAACGAAAAAGAAAAACGACGGCCACGAATAGCTTGCAACAATATAATAGGCCAAAAAAAATCAACTACTCGCCCCCCTCCCCCTCTCCCGGCACGATATTCATTCGAGTTTATAATTAGTTTTGCGTGTTTTCTGAGTTTATTTTTAGTTAATTTCGGGGAGCGTATTTTATTCTTAATATTCTTTTAAGATTACCAATTCTTCAAACGTTTTAGACTAATTTTGATGTTTCCAAATTTTCAGTATAAAAAAACAATAATAATATCCAGACACAACCGTACATTAAATTCATAAGACCACATATGTGTTTAATTATTTGTTTGCAGCTAAATTTTTGCCATTTGTAATACTAAGTGTCCCATGACAAATCTTGGATAAAAGTGTTGCTTCAAATAGAGTCAATATTTTGACGTAGCCGCCAGGAAGCAAGAAAGCTCCAGCACTGCGCCCAACACATTTAAATTTTCGCGGACACCAACATTTTCTGAACATCGCCGACTGGAAAATCCTCATGTAATGACACGTCAATTTTTTTTTTTTTTTAAGCAATATGGTTTGATTTTTTTTTTAATTATTATTATTAAGGACTTGAGAGATTTGTCGATGGTCCATCCTAGGCCAAGTAGGAAAGTTTTCAACTGTAGTCGCTGGGCAGTGTTGCAGAGAGAGCCACCGTCGGTTGGCCATCGGCGCCACTATGGGCAAACTGGCCAGAGTGGCGCTGACGATCAACCGAGACGGCTAAAACCGGCACCGCCACCGGCGTACCCTCGCGAGATAACGGTTTTACCAACTCCGAGCGTTGTGTTGTCGCGCGCTGCACTACCGAGTGTTAAAAAAAAATGTATCAAACATTAAATATATTAATGTGGATGCGTGTGTAGTTGTGTGCTTCTAGCATTAGGAAGTTTTAGACTTTCAGTAGGTGCCTTCCTCGATAGATTGAGACGACCCAAAACGGGAACTATCGAAACAAAATTGAACGTCCAGATATTACGGCCAAATTTAAGTGAAAACAAGTGGACAAGGGCAGCTTTCTTTTCTTTAAACTTTGTTTGTACGCGTCTTAAGATTAGTAAAGCGAAAACTTCGTCGAGCTTACCTCCTTTACAAATGCCGAACTATCAATGAACGGTCAATGAAAACTGGATTCTTTTCAAAGATAGACTAACATCCCTAATCAAACGTTTCGTTCCACTCACTCGAATTATATCCGATAACACTAACCCTTGGTACGATAAAACAGTTCATTGTCACTCCAACAGGAAAAAAAGAGCTTATACGAGGGCAAAGGCTCATAACACTAACGCATCTTGGAACGCCTATCACGAATGCGCTAGGGCCTACAAATCCGCGATTCATGATGCCAAATCCAAATTTTATACTCATGACCTCCCCAACATTTTAACCAATAAACCTAAAAAGTTTTGGAAAGTAATTAACCCAGCACTCTCTCTTCCATTACAATTCGTTGACGAGTACGGCCTTCCACTTTCTGACGAACATAGTGCTCTTGAAACTAACAACTTTTTTAGCTCGATCTTTACCAATGAAGACTTGTCAAGTATGCCCAACTTGTGCCAACCCCTTCATCCTCCTATGAATCCTATCATGATCGACCACTCTGGTGTACTGAAGGCCATTGAACAGCTGAAGGTGTCTTCTAGCTCTGGCGACGACCAAATAAACTCGAAAATATTAATAAATACTAAACACGTCTCTTCAACTTTCCTCTGCGACATTTTCTCGCAGTCTCTTCAACTTTCTGAAATTCCATGCGACTGGAAAATCGCTAACGTCATCCCCGTTTACAAAGCAGGTGATCGCCAACTAATCAACAACTATCGCCCCATCTCGCTCACCAGTGTGTCGTCTAAACTCTTAGAGCATATACTCTATTCTAACATAATAAACTTTCTAGACTCCCTTCTTTTCGAGCATCAGCACGGCTTTCGCAAGTCATACTCATGCGAAACGCAACTAACAGCTTTTCTTACTGACGTTTACTCAAACTTTGATTCTAATAAGCAAACTGACGCCATATTTATTGATTTCTCCAAGGCATTTGACAGGGTCCCTCATCAACGTCTCTTACTGAAACTTAGAAATATTAGTATCCATCCCTCAGTCGTCAAATGGATCTCCGAATTCCTCACAAATCGCACCCAGTGCTCATCTATTAACAGCACCAAATCTACCACCTGCACTGTAACCTCCGGCGTCCCCCAGGGAACCGTTCTTGGCCCCCTTCTATTTTTAATATACATTAATGATCTCTACCTCAACATCTCCTCTTCAATACGTCTCTTCGCCGACGACTGTGTAATTTATAGACCTATTAATTCAAACCGCGATAATCAAATTTTGCAGAATGACCTCGCACTTATAACTCAGTGGTGCCACAAATGGCAAATGACTTTAAACTTTAATAAATGTAAATCTCTATCATTCACCCGCAGTTCACATGTTTCATCCTTTTCTTATCACCTTTCCACTATCCCAGTAGCTACCTGTTCCTCATATAAATACCTAGGCGTTCACCTGACCTCTGATCTGTCATGGACTACTCACATAAATGCTGTCACTGCCGATGCTAACCGTACTCTCGGATTTCTTCGCCGTAACCTCAGACTAGCTACACCTTCAGTAAAACTACTAGCTTATACGACCTTGGTCAGATCTAAACTTGAATTTGCTTCATCCATATGGTCACCATGGCAATCATATCTAACTAACAACCTTGAATCCGTTCAAAACAGAGGTCTTCGTTTTATTTACTCTGACTACTCCCCATATCAGGATTACGCAAATCAGCTAACCTTGACTTACTTTCTTTACGTCGAAGGGTGTCACGTCTCACTCTTCTTCACAAAATCTTTTACCACAACAACCATCTAAAAGATTCTCTACTATCACCTCCCTACCGTATTTTCCCTCGTTTTGACCGCTCATGTAAACTGCGCTCAATTACTTCGTCATCTGTCTCCTATAAAATGTCGACTTTACCATCTGCTATTGACGATTGGAACTCATTACCTGACCTTATTGTAAACATGACTGACACTAACAAGTTTGCTGCAGCCGTTAACCTCTTTCTTTCTGAAATACAAGTATAGGTTACAGCGTGTTTTTTATTAAATATTTTTGTTGATGTTTTTATTGTGTTCACTCCCTTGTATAATGCCCCCTGGGGCCCTCAAGGAAAATAAATGATGATGATGAAAAGCGGCCCCTTCTTCTCACCCTTGCCCACTTTTTTTTTTTTCTTTTTCTCATGTGAACTTTTTTTGCATGAATAGCTGACCTCATTTTGGTGATCAGCTTGTTTCCAGTCCCTCGTCGTCGATTATGGTGTGCGAGGACTGTGTTTTTCGTGCAAGCTGGCTCAGTAGTTTGGACTGCGTCGTACTCGTGCGCAGTTGCTCGTCGCAAGCTAATGCTCGTTCTCGTCGATTGAATATGCTGTTTGCTTTCACATAGAATACAAATAAACGACACATGGATAAGCATTTCTCGTGGTAAAAGTTTTTTTTTTATTTTTTTCTTGTCTAAAGTAAACTTTTTTTTTTTTTTTTTTTTTTTTTTGCAGCGAGGACGAAGTTAAAATCACATAGACACGTGTCGAAATAGAGCAACCATCTTGTGTATGATGATAATGCATTGAATGCTAAGGTGCAAGTGAGATGGGCAAGAATGACAAAAATATTCCCTAGAAAAGGGGAAAAAGGCGGACAAAGGACAAACAGAGCAACGTGATCACGCTAAAGGCGAAAATAGCAGTCATGCTGCAACCGGCGTAACAGAGGAAACGCTAACTTAGGTTTGCGGTAACTGCGATCGACCGTCCACAAAGCGTCGTTCGATCGGGATGTAACAAAGATAATCTCTGGAGGAGGGGAACAAGAGGGACAAAGGACAAATTTCTAAACACAGCTAGGTGACTTGTGCGCGACCGAAAAATCCGCCTGGTCCGGGTATCGAACCCGAGTCCTCTCCACTTCCAGTGGAGCGCTCTACCAACTGAGCTAAACAGAGGTTAGACGTCAGTAGAGCGGACAGGTTTTATCAGCCGCCACCAGTCTAACACCAACAAGGGTGAAAGGCTTGCATTTTAAGGTTATGATTAGAATGCAATTAAATGCAAAGCTGCAAGCGAGCTGGACAAGAATGACGAAAATAATCCCTGGAAAAGAGGAACAACAGGGACAAAGGACCAACACAACTTCGTCATTCTTGTCCAGGTTCCTTGCACCTTTGCATTTAATCAAATTATAATCACAACCTTAAAATGCAAGAATTTCACCCCTGTTTTGTGTTACACTGGTGGCGGCTAATAAATGCTGTTTGCTCTACTGACGTCTAACCCTTGATTAGCTCAGTTGGATGGAGCGCTCCACTGGAATTGGAAAGGTCCCGGGTTCGCTACCCAGACCAGACGGATTTTTCCGGTCGCGCACCAGTCATTTAGCTGTTTTTGGAGATTTGTGTTTGTCCTTTGTCCCTCTTGTTCCCCTTCTCCGGGGATTATTTTCGTCATTCTTGTCCAGCTCGCTTGCACCTTTGCATTTAATTCCATTATGATCAAGATGTATCCGCTGGGAAGAGAGCCGTGAGGGTGTCAAAGGACCGCGATCTGACTCCAACGCTTC